TATCTCACGTGCACTTCCCGCGTCACCCGATTAATCGTCTCGTTGCTTAATTACTCCTTTACAACGTGACAGAATCCCATTTCGTCCCGCGGCTCGCGATTGCCTCGGGACACCCCGTATATGCGAATGCACGTCGCCGCGGATGTAGCCGCAATCTCTTAGGAGACACGGGGCATTATTTTGCGGGCCTTGCGGCCCACGACGCGACGCGACGCGACGCAACGCGACGACCAGCGACGACGGTGCCCCGACGAGCACGCGAACGTTGCGTGGGTTGTACCCCGTCGAAATATTATCGCTCTTTCCGCCGTACATGCCCCCTTCACTGGACCGCGAGGTTTGTCCGCGCCATTGTTTTAGGGGAGTGTAAAGCCGATGATATATCGTCACCGGAGCGTGTTCCAGAATATTAATGTCGTCTATTACACTCCCTAGACACTCACGCGCGGGCTTTTACGACTTCTCTTTCTCTCTCTTTCTCTCTCTCTCTCTCTCTCTCTCTCTCTCTCTCTCTCTCTCTCTCTCTCTCTCGATCGCGACAACTTCGGATGGATCTCGTTGGAGGCGGGAATACTGAGATTCTCATGTTTTTTCCCATAATAAGTAATTCCGATACAAGAAAACATCTCGAAGATGAGAATTTCTTTTCCCATTTCAAAGTGGTGGTTTTCGCTAATAAATTCCATTTATTGTACAACATTTTATTCAATTTTTAACATGAAATTGATGCAGTAACAGCTTGAAATCACGAGTCATAATCTTCCGATCGTTCCGTAGAAATTCCCAAGAATGAACCTCGATGGAGGCGGGAATACCGGAATTCTATTTTCCATAGTAATTCCGATACCGGACAAGAAACATCTCGAAGAGGATCATTCCTTTTTCTATTTCAAAGTGGTTGTTAGTTTTCGCTAATAAATTTGATTTATTGCACAGTATAGTATATTTCAGGCGAGAGTTACTAAATTTTTAATGTGAAACCGATGTACTAACAGCTTGAAATCACGAGTCATAATCTTCCGATCGTTACTCTGTAGAAATTTCCAAGTAACTCACGCTGTTGATACATCTCAAGCGGTCGCGTCACATCGCCGACAATCCCGACGAGTATTCACCTGAGTCACGCTCGGGCAGGTCGTCCAGGTTGCACCGAGTCGCCGTGCAGGTTGTCGCGACTTGCCGCGTACGTTGCGGCTGAACGAAAGCGATTGGGAGACATAAGTCCAGACCTGAGATTATGAGATGTAATTGAAAAGTGTATTCTTTTAAATCATACAGCGTGAAACTTGCCTGATAGGTAAGGTGACACAACTTTGAACATGATACAATTCTGAACGAAATAAGATTCGAATCCGATTTTAACATTGTTCGATACTCTTCAATACCATGTATACAACAAAAGGGTTACTTCAGGGTTGGGTAAGTTAATGTTTTTTTTTTTAACTAAATTAAGTTAAAGTTAATGGCTTATAGAATTAATAAAATTAAATTGAAAGTTAAAGGAATAAAGAATTAACTTAATAAAAGTTAAGATTAAATTAATTCAAGTTTAAAAAAGAGTTAATTTTGAAAAAAATTATTTTTGAGATCGGAATGTCCTAATTTTTCTTAAAATATGAGATTACTTTAAATAACTCTTACAAATATAAATTATTAGGCAAATTTATATCCACATGTAAGTGACTTATATATAATAGGAGTCACACCATAAGGTGTTTTTGTCAAAATCTTGCAAGAGAGAAGGGTATATGTTTGCATTATTTCTCTTTGTTTAACCTTTATCTAACTTTCTTTAACTTCTGAAACGACTGTTCATGCATGTTATGACTACATCGACTAAATATTTGTTACAAAAAATATACGTAAAAATTTAGAAAATAGGTGGATATGCAACTCTGTTCTACAACAATTCTTCATCTAACACTCATTTCATATTTAAATTGTTGGAATATAATGTTTGTGATACCTAAAATTAATGTGATTCAAATATAAGTGGGAATTGACAAAATCTAGCGAGTCAATAAAAACTGACTACCGTATGGTGTGACTCTTATTATAGAGTCTCTCATCATAAAATCATTGAACTTTTTCTAAATTAATTCTCTAATGTTTAAGACTTTATGGAAAAAAAAATATTAGCATTAAGAAAGATAGAAAAATTTTTAATTAAAAAAAAATTAATAAATTAAAGTTTAAAAGTAACTAAATTAAGTTAAAAATTAATGCATTTAAAAGTAATTAAGTTAAGTTAAAAGTCATTAACTTTTTAACATTTTTTTTTAACTTTTAACGTTTTAACTAGTTACTACCCAACCCTACCAAGCTTGTACTTTGGAAATTAAATTCAAATTTTATTTCGTTCAGAAATGTACTGTGTTCAAAATTGTATCTTACTCTACAGAAGAAAAATACTTTGTAAATATCAATATATCTATAATGTTACATAGATATGTATCTCTTGTCGTGATAATTCTATATCTGTATTGTGTGTTTTTGATAATATATCTAAAATATACATAGAAAGAACGGTTTTGAAACGGAATATATTTAAATACATTTAACTAGATACAGGTCTGAAAATAATTTTGTTGGACCATCAAAATAATTATGTAGAATGCTTGAACGTTAATAACAATTTCGCAAACAGTTTCAACGTTCATATAATCTGTTTAAGTGACTTACATTTTAATGATCCAAATAAAATTATTTTCAGATTTGTATCTAGCTAAATTTTTATTTCAGCGAAATCATTCTTTAAGATTAATATACTTAAAATATAATATACTTAAAATTTAGGATTTATCAAAGTTTTATCATGATAAAATAATCAAAACATATAAATATTTACGCAAATTGTACATGCAGCATCGGCAGATTAATCATTGTTAACTAATGAGAAGTTTATCGGTATCACTGGATAGAAATTGCGAGCATTCAAATCCCCAAATCTATCAAATCCGCCTGCGATTTTGCCAATTACAGGAAAGAACAACTTTTCTAAAATACCTAGAAAATTCTTTAGCTGGCTAAAGAAAATAATTTTGTTTGAACATCAAAATAATTATGTAAGCCGCTTAAATTAATTATTAGAAAAATTAAAATTGTTCGCAACATTATCATTAACGTTTAGGCATTCTACATAATTATTTTGATGCTCAACAAAATTATTTTCAGATCTGTATCTAACTATTTAGATACTTCAGCAAAATCGTTCTTTCTGTGTACTTCCCGGGGATTTTTCTCGATGGATGACCTCATCACGGGAATAAACGGGGGAGACGCGATTCGAATTTGGCTGTTGGAAACTTCTCTCGCGACGACGGCCATCCGTTTCGAATTTCAGATTGGCGGGGCCCTTGCCGACTATACTCGGCCCTCGGCTTCTGTCTTTGACGGTGCCGTTCCATCATCTCGCTCGGTTGACTCACAAATGCACCATTAAGGAGGAAATCCGAGGGCCGTTGCGCGCCCACGGACGCGGACGGACTCGCCGTGCCGCACCGAATTTATATAATCGGCGTAACAAATCTCCAGGAGTTATAAGGGGGCCGCGGTCTCGACGCTGCAGCGACCGACGCGACGTCGCGGCGTTTTCGAAATGGCCGTCAAATTGCACAATAAAGGCTCTTCCTATAAAAGAAGAATCTTAGAATTAAAGATTCCTATCATAGGGACACTATTGCAATCGATCCGATGCTTTTTAAAAGAAAAGAAAATCTAATTATGTCTTTGAAACATAATAGGTTTGTTTCTTTATAACTAAACTAAATAGTATAGTTATAGGTACTTTTGGAACTTATATAAGCGAATTGGAACACACACTAGTGTGCGTTGATGCATATTAAAGCTATTGCACATATACTGATTTAATCTCAGTGTGAAAGTAAAACGTGAATATTTTGAATTATAACATACATATTTTACTAGCTCAATAAAGTGTATTGAATATTTCACAGTTTAACTGATTTCTATATTTATAATAAACACATTTATGTCAATTTGTGTACGGCTTTAATGCGACTAAATCCGTCCAATCGAATTCATTATTAAAATGAAATAGATATATGTTTAACATTTAGCTAGAAAGTAAGAAAAAGAGTTCCAACGCAGTCTATTGCAGGAATAGAAAACAGATTTAGTGTTGCAAAAATTTCTTATGTCTACGTTACTTTGTATACAACAGAAACCTGGGTCTGCGACACTTGCCGCAACTGGAACCGGCGCAGACGATGGAGCCGTTTGACGCGAGTGCCTCCACGATCTGCGTTGGTCTAAAGGGCCTGTCTCAGGGCCAGGGGAAGCTCTGCCAGCTGTCCGTGGACCACATGTTCAGTGTAGCCAAGGGAGCGAAGTACGGTGTTATGGAGTGCCAGCATCAGTTCAAGGACAGAAGATGGAACTGCTCCACCGTCCACGATGAGACCGTGTTCGGTCCGATACTTAGAATAGGTACATCGGTGCTAATGCTAACATTCCGGAAACCGCGGCATTCAAGCGACAGCAATGTTTTATCATTCAATTTCTGTCATTAAAACAACGCTGTCCGTTGCAGCGAGCAGGGAAACCGCGTTCGTTCACGCGATCACCGCCGCTGGAGTGGTCTACTCCATCAGCCGTTCCTGCCGGGATGGCCACCTGTCGTCGTGCGGCTGTTCCAGGAGTAGCAGGCCCAAGGATCTAAAACGCGATTGGATCTGGGGCGGATGCGGGGATAATCTCGAATACGGCTACAAGTAAGTGCGAAACGCGTAAGCCCTGGTCCTATAAAGGCTAAAGATCCGAAAGAGTATGGGTGAACTCGCCTTTTTCTCTTTTCTTTCTTTCTTTACTCCCTTTTTTTTCGTCTTGCGAACGTCACGGAGAAGCCGGGGAAACTGGTTTGAGGCATGTTTTCGTCGGTAATAAGATGTTCTGCCAGCGCGAAAAGATACGTGCGACTCGAGATGTTCTGCGCGCGATCATTTTTCCTAGCCCTCTACATCTGATTAACACAGTGTAACCGGTCTTTGGTATTTGATTAATGATGGGCCATCGTAAAAGCCCGCAAGAGTCAAGCATACCTAGATAACGACTACCGTCGTCATATATTTTGATAATAATAACAGTCTCTTCAAGATACATATATTATCGCAACATTTCTCTCTCTCTCTCTCTCTCTCTCTCTCTTTCTCTGAAAATTCTTTCAGCCACCACTTAATAAAAATAATTATATATGTATATATATATGTATATTTAATAAATTATATAATATTATTGATATAATACATTGCTCCTTTACTTAAAAAAGACGACGTAAAAATCGTGATTTCTGAGTTGTTATCATGAATAAGTTAAGTAAACGTTACCTTATCCATGTCTATATCTCTATCAACTTAAATTATAACTTAACTTCATAAAAAATCATTAAAATCGTCACAACAAAAAAAAATAATTTTTTTAGGGTTGTGTAACGAAAATAACTTTTTATCATTAAGAATATATTTTTTTAAATATTGTATATTATATATTTTTCAATATTGTTTGATTAGTCAATATATAATTTTCCGTCAAGTTGAAAAATAATCTCTCCCTCCTTTTGGGAAATTTAATTTTTTTATCTGTGTCATTTTTGAAGTAAAGAAGCGATATCTTAGACAGCGTGATGTCCAAAATTAGAAAATTGTAATATATTATAATATCTAAAAAATATCATTAAAGTCCAATTCTATGAAATAAATTAACTTTAATCTCGATTCAACTTGCTCTTCATTTTTTTCTAATTCTTAGAAAAAATTCTTAAAAAGAATTATTGTAAAAAGTTAATTGAACCGAGATTAAAATTAAACTATATTCATAGAAGCGGGTATAAAACATCTTTAAAAACGTTTTTAAAACTCAGTTCCATGGTAAAATTAACTTTAATCTTGGTTTAATTTTTTTCTCTTTATTTTTTCTAATTCCAAGAATTAGGAAAAGATAAAGAATAAGTTAAACAAAAATTAAAGTTAATCTTACATTGATGGAGCTTAAGATGTCTTATGTTCCGATTCTTCAACATGCGTGTTGGAATAATATTATAATTAATGTAATTAATTTTTAATCTTCTACAAAAAAAGTTACTAAATACTTAATTATCGAAATTAATACAAACGGAATACATCCGTTCAGATTCACGCAGGCATTCGTTGATGTGCGGGAGCGAGAGCGTAGTTTCAAAAAAGGCAGCCGGGAGCAGGGCAGGAGTCTGATGAATCTGCACAACAACGAGGCCGGTCGCAGGGTAAAGTTCGTTCTTTTCTTAGCTCGCGCGCAAGAAATGTCTCTTTAAATGTCGCGTCGCGTTAAATACGCGTGTATCGATTTCTCGCGATTTAATGCGAATTCCATTGAACCAAAGCGCGATAACGAAACTAATGCGCCAACTATTCATCCCCCGCAGGCCGTCGTCAAAAGGTCCAAGGTGACGTGCAAATGTCACGGCGTTTCCGGAAGCTGTAGCCTGATCACCTGCTGGCAGCAGCTCGCATCATTTCGCGAGATCGGTAGGTCTAACGACAATTAACACAATTAACATCCTTAAACGACGCAAAGTCTAAAGGATAATTTAATCCTTGGTAGATTATTTGTGTCTTGCGCATTTTTTTTTCTTTAAAATAACACTTTATTAATATCTTTAAAATTTCGATACTTTTACAGTGTTCTCTAGAGACTTGTGTCGTTCGGGGAATATCTATACAGACAGCGATGCAATTTTGTGTATTTTCAGGTGATTTTCTCTTGGACAAATACGACGGTGCGACCGAAGTCAAAGTCAATCGGCGCGGTCGTTTGTCGATACGCGATCCTAGGTTCTCCGTGCCTACTGCGAATGACTTGGTCTACCTGGACGACTCGCCGAACTACTGCCTTCCGAATGATACCCTGGGATCACTAGGTAGCTCTATCACTTTCAAGGATTTTACATTTTCATATGAAGTATTTTTGTTTAGGAAAAGAAACGAGAAGATTCTTTCTCCCTCCCTCTCTCGCCTCTCTCTTTCTCTCTCATATATAAGATTTATTTTCCGAAAGCTTGTAAGACATTCTTTACGATTTTGTAACAGGTACGCAGGGTAGATTATGCAATAGGACTTCGTCCGGCATGGACGGTTGCAATCTTCTTTGCTGCGGCAGAGGATACAACACGCAGAAGTCGACCATCAGGGAAAGATGCGAATGCAAGTTTCACTGGTGTTGCTTCGTCGAGTGCAAGACCTGCGTAAAGAATATCGATATACACACTTGCAAATAGCACACTACTATTTATTTCTTTCTTTTCCGTAAATCTTTTTCGGACTTGTCCTCGCATTGTCGAAGATATATACACTTGACAGTACAACGTATTCTGGTAACTGTGGCATTATTTACTTGTTTCACAGTAAATAAATTTTGAATATTTTTTTTCTAATTTAAAATCTACTCATCAAATAAATTTTATTAAAACTTCTTTTTTTCCGCAAACGTGTGTGTATGTGTGGTATGTTGTATGTATGGATGTGTGTGTATGTATGGATTTTATGCAATATTATTATTGCGATAGATTCTTTTTCAGCGCTAAAAGATAAATTTTATCAGAGTATTAAGTAATCTATATTTTATTAGAGAAATTAGTTTGTCTTATCATAAATTATTTGTGGCCTACGAAAAAAAAGTTTAAGCAAATCAAGAAATTTTTTTATTGTGTCTTCGTAAGAATTAAGTGCTTCGTAAACGATTGTTAAATCGACGTAATTCTTTTAACGGAGACAAGTGAAATATAAACAAAAATTGCATTTAGTCCTTTTTATGTTAAATTAATGACTACATATAGAACAATTAAACAATGTTTTGTAAATTTGTATAACGCAGAGATGTCTCTCTCGTGTTGCTTTATTCTAACATCTTTTTAAAAGGGATTTATCAATTATCAAATTATTCCGTGTGACAAAACACAAATAAATTATTTTTAATCCATAACTATACCGCTCTTTATATAACTACAATAGTTACTTATATATTAAAAAGATTATATAACGTAAATTATTTAAAGTGTTCATTGCATTTTTATTTATTTGCTCAGAGCAAGCGATTTAATTTAGCAATCCGCAAAATAGCATAAACGAGCGACATTGTGGATTACTTAAGAATACTAAGAACTTAAGAGGGAATACTAAGAACTTAAGAATATTGTGAGTAAAGGTACCAACTATTCGATATAGAATATAATTGCATTATTACGCAAACGTTGGTAGTAAAAGGGGAAACAAATGATTCCAGAAAGCTGAAAGAAATCCAAAATTATTTTTTTAATTCACATATACAGAATAATATGGAAATATCTCTGGTAATTGTATACGTAAAATTCAGCATGTAAGTTGAATTTGTAAATTATAAACTTATATAGTAACTCTACTTATATGTTCAATCACTGGACAAATCCATCAATTTTCAGAATAATTTCTGTATTAATCTGTACATGTACGTATACCTAACTTAACTTAAATTTTCTATTACAGTCATTATGATAAGAATCACGTAACGACATTCCATTTGCATTGCAGACTATGTCTGACGGAATGTACTTGCCTTAAGTAATGATGTAGTTTTTAAGTCATGGCGTTGTATCTTTAGTAGACTAGACATTTATTTAACATCGATACAATTATTTATTTTTACTCCTAGATACTGTATTGTACAAAATTCGGCATTTCACAGTGGATAGATGTTAAGATAATAAAATATCTTATATATCGATCACCAAGCTTTACCTTACTTGATTTCCACTGAGAAGAAGTAAATGTTATGATTACATCGCACTTAGTATCTGTATGTACACTTTATTGTTGTTCCTTACTTTGCACTTCACAATCTCTTTACATTATTATACAGAGACAAACTATTCGTGAATCTCCCAAGGTTTTTCTGGCCGGTAACTGTCCCAAGAATTTGGATACTTGTATACTTGTGGTTCAGTTAAAACAATGTTATTCTTTTCTAATTCTTTAATCAATAATTCACATTTGTCTCCAGTTAATGCAGCATCAACCTCGATTTCACAGATCCCAGCCTCTAGGCAACGCTGAGCCAACACTCGTCCTATATTAATATAAGCTGAACTATCGGTAGTCCTGAAATATTTACATTACATCAATAGGATAAAAAAAATAGATGAGCCAATTAATAATAAATAATTCTAAATTCAACTAAATCTCAGTACCGATATAATTGCCTCTTCAATGCCCATTCTGCACTGGAAGCTGAAACAACTGGCCCATTTTTGAAATGGCAGACTTCGGCTATGATATAACGTGGCTTTTTAATCAGAAACAACCTATAAATTAGCACAATCATGACATTATAATTAAATTCATTATAATGGAAAAGGTAACATACGTTTTCATTCATTTAATAATAAAAATGTCTAATAACAAATTCACTTGTATTATACTAAATTAATATACAATAAAAGTTGTTATATCTATTAAAGATTTGCTTCATATAAAGTATATAAATAGTATAAGTACATAAATAAAATAGCATAATGTAATCAACTTTGGCAATAAAATAACATATGTATATTCTGTTAAATAATGTGACAATATCATTATTGGATATTTAATCGTTTAAAAATATTTATGTATTTTTACATATAATTATTGTTATATATAACAGCTTTTAGTATGCATTAATCTAGTATAATGCAAGTAAATTCACCATTATATTGAAATCAGTAAAGCTAAATACAAAAGCATGTATATAAATGTTAACAATTAAATATCCATATAATGGCACTGTCACATTATTTAATAGACTATATATGCTTCATTGTCAAAACTAATTATATTATCTGCATTTATACATATTTTGTATAAAGCAGCCTTTAATATTACTGATCTAGTATAGTGCGAGTGATTGAGTTTCCATCATAATAAATGACGATTTCGTCACAGGACCATTGTGACTTGATATAACCTTACTTGTGCCAGTACATACACCCGGGTTTTTCAAGATGATAACCTTGGGGTTTTCTCGCTATCCTCAACCGTTCCAAATTTCGTGGATTTCGATTCACCATTTCCGTGCACGCCTCGATCAATTCCGCGTTGTCGTGCAGTCCCCGGTGCATGCGGGACATGCGAATGATACCGGCGCGTACGTTCACCGAATACATGATCTTTGGATCGTAATAGTCGTTACTTTTGCCACTCGAATCTCGGTACTATAATATCAGTTTCCGAGTTAAATTACTTAAACGATGTTTTCATTTTCTTTCAGAAAAGACATCCAGGTCAGGTTCTCCTTTGACCAGGTTAGGTTTTCCTTTGACCATCTGTCGATTAATCATTTCGAGATACACAATCGACCCCTAGGAGATCGATTCTATGTCTTCAAACAAGATGAAAATTACTAGTGAGCAAATTTACTAGCTGTTGACCAATGAAATTATTAGTATTCTAGTAAATTCGCTCACTTTTATAATTTTCGCCTCGTTTTAAGATACAGAATCTATTCCCAGGGAGTCAATTGTGGATTTTAAAAGGAGATAAAAATTACAAAAAATAAGCAAAGGTTACTAGGTATTGACCAATTAAATTATGAATATTTATTTAATGAATTTGTAATTTTTACCACTGAGGGTTTGAACCGGATCAGAATGTAAGAACCAACCAACTATAATCCAGTACTTCCCTGTCGTTTGACTGAAACAGGGGAATACTCGACTGTAGTTGGTTGGTTCTTACATTCTTCGGTTTAAACCCTCGGTGGAAACTAGGCCAATAGCTGCGTTCAGCGGACTCAACAGTTGAGTAAGCGCTCGCTGTTATTAGTGTATTCTTTTAGATCATCCAATCAGCATTTTAGATTTGGAAGAATGCATCAATAGCAGCGAGCCTTCACTTAACTGTTGAGTCTGCTAAATGCGCCCAACAATTCTATGTTCTTAAAGGGCGTATCAGAGAGAAATCTGGATATTAATCATGAAACTTTTTTTCTAGGATGAAAAATAAAGGAGAGTGAAAAATTTCTCTATTAATTTCAATGGTTAAAATTTTCAATTTTTACTTTCTAATGCTAGAATTGAAAAGAGATGAAAAATAAGTTAAACCTCGGTTAAAAGTTAACCATGAGTTGTAAAACTTGGCTTAAGAAAATGAATAATTCTATCCGTATTGAGGGAATTAAGTTGTACTGGTATTAAATGGGAATTTGGTCGGTTTTTTGTCTTAAATTTTTTTTCTTTAATTTTTCAACTAGAATCATAAATGTACGAATACGTAGATACAACACGCTAAAATTTAGAAGCCTAGAAGGTTCGCCATAATGCTTGTCCCGATATACATGAGTTTAGTGACCCTCCGCGAATGCGAGGGATAAAGCAGGATGGAGAGTAGAGGTCGAGTGGAGTGGGAGTCGAGTGAATACTAATCGTGAGAGAGAAAGAACGAAGGGATAATTTAGATTATTTTCAACGTTTGCAATCTACCTTTTCGCAATGAGTACCGTCGAGTATGGTTTTCCAATGATAGGCGGATTAATGCCGGTAAGCAAAATTAATGTATCTATCACTAACATGGAATTTTTATGTGAAAAAAAGATAGAGAAATCACACTGGGTCCGTTCTATGGTCTCCTTAATTTGTCTCTTCGCGAAAGAACGGCTGCTTTTTCAATTTAAATTATATTTTTTTTAGCAAATACAAGCCCTCATTGCACCACCAATATCCGATGACTCAAAGGCGGCGAAAGCAAAGAAGGAAAAAGAGGAGAAAAAACATCCGTACTTTAAGAGACGAGGTCGTGGTCATAATCGTGACTTCTGCGACGCTTGTAAAGATGGTGGAGAGCTTATATGCTGTGACAAATGTCCAGCTTCTTATCATTTACAGTGCCAGTAGGTGTGATTAGACCAATCGCTATCTTCAAAAATTTTTGTTATAAGATATTGAATTTTTATCTGTTGAGTTCTAAGGAAAAGACATATTTCTAAAGCTTTTATTTTACAGCTATCCAGCAGTGGACCCAACAGATATTCCTAATGGAGAATGGTTGTGCTACGCCTGCCGTTGTGCTTCTAAAAGGGAGGAACTCTTTGATGAAAAGGGGAATGAGAAGAAAAAGAGATCAGCTCTAGAAGTATTAACATTGGCGGCTTCTCTAGTAAATCCAAGAGAGTTCGAATTACCCAAGGAGTTACAGTTACCTATAATGTTTCCTGGAAGCAATAAAGTGGACTATGTAACTGGCAGAAGAGGTAAACCACCAAGCTCATCGTATAACAATGGTAGGCAAGATAAGATTAAATATACTCTTCCTTTTTTTCTTTTTGTCCTTTTTCTTGCACATAAATAAAGAATAAATTTATATTTTGTAATA